GTAGCCTCCGAACCTGTTGCGGCTAGAGGAATGACTGGGTCTGTCCCGCTCCCTCAGTATTTTGGGGGCAACCCAGCTCAGTGCAAAGAATTTATAAATCAGGTTAAAGGATACCTTGAAATGCTGCCCCAGGCATTTCCTACAGACAGCGACAAAGTCCAGTTCATGATTTCTTTGCAGTCTGAAAAAGCCCTAGCTTGGGCAAAACCTCTCTGGGAGGCAGAGAGGCCCATCATTTACAATTACCCTGAATTTGTTGCGTCCTTTAAAAGGGTTTTTGATATTCCAGCTTGCTCCACCCCTACTGCCAAACAACTCATGTCTAATACTCAGGGCACGAAAACTATTGTTGAGTATGCCAGTGAATTCCGTACCATGGCAGCAGAGGGTGGCTGGAATAACGAGATTCTTGTGGCTGCCTTTGCACAGGGGCTATCCGATGTAATGAAAAATGAGATTGCAGGCAGAGAATTACCTAAAGATCTCGAGGAACTGATATCATTTGTCACCCTCATTGACATCAGACTCCGAGAGAGATCCTAATCCAGGGAGCGCCTACGGAGGCCTCCAGTATGTTTGGCACCGAGCTTCTCCTGCCCACCCAAACCTCCCTCACCTCCCATGCCTCCTGGTCCTGAGTCCTCTGTCGGTGTGGAGCCGAGGCGGTTAGGCTTCTCACGCCTCTCTGTCGAGGAGAGAGCCTTTAGGAGGAGGGAGGGCCTGTGCCTATACTGCGGACACCACGGTCACATATTAAAGTTTTGCCCGATTCGTCCGGTAAAGGGCCCGTACCCAAGATACTGTCAGGGGCAGATCTTGGGGGGTCTTTCTGCAGACCCAGAGATAAATAAGGACAAACCCTTGGTGCCTATTATCCTCTCCTGGCCGGAGTCATCCATTAAAACCCGGGCATTTCTTGATTCTGGGGCCGCAGGCTTGTTTATAGATTGTGCATTTGCATCAGAGCACTCTATACCCTTACAGCCTCGCAACTCCCCACTAGCTTTCGAAGCCATCGATGGCCGACCTATACAGCCAACCCTCGTGACCCAGGAAACCGTGCCCATATCTCTGGCTGTAGGGGCTCTACATCATGAGATGATCCAATTCCAGGTCATTTCCTCTCCATACTACCAGGTTGTTTTGGGATACCCTTGGCTACAGAAGCATAACCCCACAATTGATTGGCGCAAATCTGAGATTATCTTGGTCCCAGCAATGCACATTTTCCTGTCTCCGGAAACCGGTCAAAGTTTTGAGCACAGTTTCGGCCTCTTCCTTACCCGCTGAGTACCAAGAATTCCAAGATGTATTTGACAAAGGTCAAGCTAGCGTTCTGCCACCACACCGTCCGTATGACTGTGGTATCGAACTCCAACCTGGTGCCAATCCTCCCCGTGGACGGGTTTACCCGCTGTCTGTAGCAGAGAATCGAGCCATGGAGGAGTATGTTACTGATGCGTTGTCAAAGGGATTCATTCGGAAGTCATCTTCTCCTGCCGGGGCCGGCTTTTTCTTTGTGAAAAAGAAGAGTGGTGAGTTGAGACCCTGTATCGACTATAGGGGTCTCAATCGCATTACTATTAAGAATGCTTACCACATTCCATTGATCACAGAGTTATTTGACCGCCTCAAGGCAGCAACGGTCTTCACTAAACTTGATCTGAGAGGGGCATATAATCTTGTCCGGATAAAAGAGGGCCACGAATGGAAAACCACATTTAACACCAGGAGCGGGCATTACGAATACCTAGTAATGCCCTTTGGTCTTTGCAACGCTCCGGCGGTTTTCCAGGAATTTATAAATGACGTCCTGCGAGATATGCTGCAGCAATGTGTGGTGGTTTATCTTGATGATATTCTTATCCATTCCACATCTCTCGAGAACCACCACGCAGACGTTTCTAGTGTTCTACAGAGACTTAGAGAAAATAATCTGTTCTGTAAATTGGAGAAATGTGAGTTCAATTGCAAACAGGTCACATTCTTGGGCTATGTTATCGCTGATGCTGGATTCTCTATGGACCCAGAAAAACTTTCTACTGTACTAAAATGGCCTCGACCTACGGGTCTTCGCTCTATACAGCGTTTTCTTGGCTTCGCCAATTATTATCGGAAGTTCATACGCAACTTTTCCTCCTTGGTTAAACCACTCACGGATACGACCAGGAGAGATGCTGATCCACAGCATTGGTCACAGGAAGCCATTTCTGCCTTTGAGTCTCTCAAAGTCGCCTTTGCTGCTGCTCCTATACTGGCACACCCTAACCCTGCCTTACCATTCATTCTTGAAGTCGATGCGTCTGAGACAGGAGTAGGTGCCCTCCTGTCTCAACGTCCTAACCCAGAGAGCTCCAGGCATCCGTGCGGGTATTTCTCGAAGAAATTAAACCCGGCGGAATGCAATTACCAGATTGGTGATAGAGAACTTCTAGCCATAATATTAGCTCTCAAAGAATGGAGGCACCTTCTTGAGGGTACTTCAGTGCCAATTCTCATCCTCACAGACCACAAGAATCTGACATATCTTTCCGAAGCTAAGCGACTTTCCCCCAGGCAAGCTAGATGGGCTCTCTTCCTATCAAGATTCAATTATGTGGTTTCTTACTTGCCCGGTACTAAAAACATTCAGGCTGATGCTTTGTCTCGACAGTTCTCCCCTCCATCTAGAGAGGAGATAACCCCTACTCCTGTGATTCCTCCGGACCATATACTGGCCACCATCCGTACTAGCCTCACCTCACACCTAGGCGAGGAGATTCTGGCTGCACAAAGTAATGCTCCTCCAGAGAAACCTAATGGCCGTTTTGTACCTATTCATCTCCGTACTAAATTATTAAGTACTTATCACAACCCCAAAGCAGCTGGACATCCAGGCAAAAACGAATTAATCTGGTCCGTCTCTCGGCAATTTTGGTGGCCTAGTCTCCGTTCGGATGTCACTGCTTTTGTAGCTGCCTGTCCTGTATGCGCTCAAAATAAAACCCCACGACACCCTCCAGTGGGTCTCCTGCATACCATACCTAATGGTGAACGACCCTGGACCCACTTGTCCATGGATTTTATCGTAGATCTTCCGGTCTCCCGTGGCAATACAGTCGTTCTCATGGTTGTTGATCGATTCTCAAAGATGTCGCATTGCATTCCCTTGAAAAAACTACCAACTTCTCAGGAAGTTGCTCGGGAGGTCTTTCGTTTGCATGGGTTACCCAAAGTGATAATCTCAGATAGGGGTAGCCAGTTTGTGTCCAGATTTTGGAGAGCTTTTTGTACACAAATGGGAATTCAGCTTTCCTTCTCCTCTGCCTACCACCCGCAATCCAATGGTGCCGCGGAACGAGCTAACCAAACACTGGAACAGTTTCTGCGTTGCTACATTTCTGACCACCAGAACAACTGGTCTGATCTGCTACCCTGGGCGGAGTTTGCCCACAATAGTGCGATTAATGCCTCTTCCCGGCTATCCCCGTTCTTGGCGAACTATGGCGTTCATACCACAGGGGATACCGGCATTGGAGGAACATCTCAGGGAACTCCGTTCCACTTGGGTGCAGGTTCAGTACTCTTTGCAACGCGCAATGCAGAACTACAAACACCAGGCTGACCGCAGACGCCTTCCTGCACCTACCTATCAAGTCGGAGAGAAGTTCTGGCTGTCTTCTCGCAACCTACGGCTCCGTGTTCCCTCACAAAAACTGGCACCCCGATACGTTGGGCCATTTCGTATACTTCGAAGGGTTAACCCTGTAGCTTACGCACTTGACCTTCCTGCTAACATGCGCATCTCTAATGTATTCCATGTTTCCCTCTTGAAACCATTGGTATGTAATCGTTACACCACCTCAGTACCACGTCCACGTCCTGTTCCGGTTGACAATCATGAGGAATATGAAATACGCAGCATCATTGACTCACGAGTCTTCAGAGGACAGATATAATACTTGGTGCACTGGAAAGGGTACGGTCCAGAGGAACGCTCCTGGGTTCCAGCCTCTGATGTCCATGCACCATCCCTCCTTCGTTCCTATCATGCTCGCTTCCCCATGAAGCCCGGACCCACCAGCAGAGATGGGGGGAGTCGTTGAGGGGGAGGTACTGTCAGGGTTTCTTTGCTGTTTTAAACAGCCACCCTTCCTTTTTCAGTGTCTGAGGTTTCAGCTGTAATTAACGATCAGCTCCTTCAGCATGTTGCCACGGTTACTCACCTGAGAATAGTAATCAACCCTGCTGCTAATCAGTTCAGCCTATTTAAGCAGCAAATCCCAGAACCTCCTTGCCCTTGCGTGGTTTCCTGTTCCCCAGAAGTCTCCTTGTTCCTGTGTTTCCTGTTTGCTCCTGGTTCCTGACTCTGGCCTTGTTCCTGACTCTGCTGCTCTCCGTTCTCCTGATCCTGGCTCGTCTGACTACCCGCTCTGGTGACTGACCCCTGCTTGCCTCCTGGACTTTGCTTTTGGTTATTTCTTTGTTATTTATTAAATAAAGGTGTTTTTGCATCTAGATCTGTCTCTGTCTGGTTCCTGGTTCCTGACACTTATTAAGGTGTTGAACTCTTGTGAATGTGAGTAGAGCACTGATGTCTATTGTAGATTCCTCATGACAACAGGAGCTTCCACAGATATTGTCCAGTGATCAGCAAGACAATGCCTTTTGCCCTCAGCTGTCACTAGAGATGGCTGAGAGAACAGACAAATCTTGACAGTAGTAGCTCCGCTTTTTGCAGGTTTGGCAAGTGTAGGAAAATTGCATAAGACAAAGTACTCCCTAATTGTCTTATGATATATTTTGACTGTTATTTCAGTGAAATTCACATCATGGTATGTGAGTATTTCAGAAAGATTGTATCTTTCAGCAAAAAAGTATTTTGTTCGGGGTGGGGGGTGAGGAGGGCAGCTGCTTTAGAGTAGAATTTAAATTGAAAATGTCTGTAAACATCTAATAAATACAAAGAATAATACAAGAATAATACATACGTCCTTTCTCTCTGTTCTCTAAAACGCCAGACAAGGCACTTCTCAGCAATTCAAAGAGTTGTCCACAGGACGTGCAGAGATTTATAGATGCTCGGAAAGAAGCCCAGGAGAGGATTCGAAGCACATGCCATCAAAATGCTATGAATAACTCACCAACTTTATCTACTTTAGAGCAGAATGTTAGTAATGGACTATTTTATCTCACAAAAGTTATTACAAAGTATGTGCTCACAACTAACTCTGGAGACATGTGGGCAAAAGACAGATTACTTATGACTTCATAGCTTGCCCCAAATTGGTGGCTGAATTTGTTATTTAACACTTCTATGTATAGACATTAGAACAAAGATATATGTTCAATTAATCATTACACACACATATTTTTGTAAAGGTATGTAATGTGCTTTTTTCAGCAATCTGACATTGACCACTGGGCTGTTGTATGGTTCTGGGAATATCTATTAATCCACAACACAGTTGAGAAAGTAAAAAAAAAAAAAAAAGAAAAGCAAACATGATACATGTAAGTATAAATTAGCACAATAAAATATAATGTAGTTTGATTTAATTGTATTTAATTCAGAAAAATTTTTTGCTTATTGTTATATAATCACAATTTCCATACTATTTCATTATTGTTTTAACGAAATGTGCACTTATATTCTCTGTCATAAATACTATTAACCAAACAAAAACAGAAAAGACTCATGCAGATCCTCCAGTATAACTATACAAGTGCACACCAGAGGGCACCAGGTACCATTCGAAAATGTATTAACTTTCTAATAAGGTCGCAAAAATCAAAATCAGTAGATGTCTCAATATAAAAAGATAAAATAGAATAAAAAGATCATTGTACAGTATATCAATCAGCCAGACACTCACAAAATAGAAATGTACATGTAAAACAATGTGCAAAAAGTGCTTTGCCAGTGCAGGTCAAAAGTCCCAACACACAGTCTGCCACCCCTGGAACGAAGTGTATCCTTGCAAATCCTATGGTCGTGTCTCTGGGTTTTTCTTCAGTGCAGTCCTTACATGTCAATGCCAAATGGTGCACATGGCAAAGAAATGGAGTGCAATATAGACTTAAATACTCAACATATTTTATTTAGACCAAATGCAGATGTCCTCTGGAGATAAATTTAATGGAAACTGCAATGGTTTGAATACCCTAAAATACTCTAATATATTTGCAATAGTATAATCTTTAGATATTGAGATACACAATGTCCCACTCAAACAAGCACATGATCTATGAGGATTTCAGTTAGGATATATATCTTGACCGAGGACACTTGCTGGTAAGGTTATCTGATCACTGTTCTAGCCATCTAACAACTATATCTATATTTATGTGTGTGTAGCTTTTGAACATGTGTGAATGGTTTATTTTATGTACTTTGGTGTAATACACAATATTTGGCAAATATGTAACAGGTTTGAATACTTATTTTGTCTGCTTTATCAAGATACATTAAAAAAAAAAAAAAAAAGCTTGCATGGATTGTAGTGAAAACCTGGATGTATAAAAATTAGTTATCTGTGAAATTTGATTTATTTATTTATTTTTTGATTGGTTTTGTTTTCTCCTCTCCTGGTGTGTGTGTATATAATATATATATATATACATATATATATATATATATATATACATACACACACACACATACATATTCATACACACACACACACACACACACTTTATATATGTAAAGCAGAAGAGAGTAATAAAGCGTTAACTGCTGAGGTTCGGGAAAGAACCTGATTTATTGCGTAGACAATAACAAACCTTTGATACTCCGGGCCATAATGAGGAGGAAACATGGATGACCCGGGCTGTTAAAGGCCCAAGAAGAATGTTTCAAGTTCTTCAAATGTGTTTTTATGTGTGTATGTATACTTGTTAGTTTTTTGCTCATGGACGGAAATAGGGAAGAAGGGAGGAAACAACACTTTAACAGGATAAAATTTATTTCTATTAGTATCCAGGGTCTAAATTCTAAATTGACAGCCACTTTTCCAAAATCATAGTGTCTTCCACAGGATTAAGAAAAATAAAGGGATAGCAATATTTATCTCTAACACTCTAAGTTTGGAAATAATACATCAAGAATGTGACCCATAAGCGGGATTCATAATATTGATTTGTAGGATAGAGGGGAAGCTTTACACCATGATTAATATTTATGCACCTAATGCAAGTCTGGTCTTTTTTGTTAAGAAAATGTTGGGAAAAATTTAAACAATCTATAAAAGAGCGGTTATTCTAGCAGGTGATATTAATGCTAATATGGACATTGAGATCGATTAGATAAAATAGTAAACCAAAAATTGAGAAAAGCAACACATTCTTTAGAACTGCTAGCAAAAAAATAAAATTTTATGATTTATATAGAATTAGAAATCCACATGCAAGAGATTGTACACATTTCTCCCCTGTGCATTATTCATATGCAAGGATAGATATGATGTGGACTGATTTTTCATTTTTACCGATAATTAAAAAAGAGTTTTATTAAAGAAACCATATGGTCTGACCACAATGCAGTAGCTTGGTTGATTAGGATGGGAAGGAATATAATATAAACAGACAATAGAGATTAAATGAGAAACTCCTAATAAAAGAAGAAAATCTAGCATATACTGGATATAGAAGATGACAGAATTATATTTCAATTAAAAATTTTAGTTAAATCCAGAGCAGTTCTATGGTGCACTTATAAAAGTGTGTGCAAAGGGTATTTAATAAAAATTGGAGCAACAGCAAATAAACAAAGAGGGGAAGATATTAATTTGTTATATATTAAATTTTAAAATATAAAAAAGAAAATATCTTAAATACTGTACCTAATAGAACTAATGATATATTTAATCTCCAAAAAAAGAATACTTAAATGACTTCTTATGCGTCAGTCAGGGGACTCAGGGAGGTGTGTTCGGCTCCTGTTCTCAGCGCAAGCCGTGACGAGGATCTTTCGGGGTCCCTTTGGCCTGACAATCTGCTTGAGTTTTCTCAGGATCGAGATTGACTTGGTGGCACAGGAAGGTCATCTCACAGCGGATAAGGTGGAGGATCTGCACACTCAGGTGGCGGCAGCGTTAGCTATGTAGAAGATACAGTTGAATCAGCTGCTGGGTAAGCTTAACCCATAAGCAGGGTGTTTTACTGCCACCTGGCTGCCACTACATCCAGCATTTCCAGACCTCACCACTTTGTCCGCTTGATGCACCCCTTAAAAGGAGGATCTGGTCATCTGGGATTCCTTCTTTGTGAGGTTTAATGGCCGGTTCTATTGGCAGGTACTGGAGGTGTCCAATGCGGAGCTGCATTTGTTCACCTTTATTGCACAGTCTGTTTGAAAAGTATTATCTCTGGCTATGTTAAAAAAAATTTTCATGCAGGCTGTGTGAGTCACAGCCAGGGGAGGTGTGGCTAGGACACAAACAGAAACAAAAAGTGATTTAATTTCTAAATAGAGACTTGGGGGCGTAGTCTGACTGCCGACCGAGATGGCCGCGTAGTCTGAGAGCTCCGTCTCCATCCATAGCAATCCAAGCACAGGCATCGAAACTCGTACAGCTACCCAGCAGCAGCAAAAATGCACAGCAGAACCTCCAGAGCGAAAGCACCCCAAAAAAGGAAAGGTGAGCGGAGAGAAACAGCAATGTCAGTAGCCGACATGCTCACCACACTGCGAGGCCCCACAAGATAGCCACCACCGGGACACATCAATCGCTGACTCGCAGACATCCTCAGTGGGGGGATAATCACCCAGAATACCAAATGGATGACACCCCGCACATACTCCCAAAACTGGCGGAGGTCCGCAACTTCCTCGCAGGGGAAATTTCCAAAAGTACGCGGGAAGTGAAGGCAGAAATACAAGCACTGGGCGCACGGACGACAAAATGGAAAAGGTCGTACAAGCCCACAACACAGTAGTACTACACTCCAAAACCGTGGAACAAATGGCAGACCTGGAGCTGATGATAGATGACCTTGCAAATCGCTCCAGGCGCAACAATGTCAGAATCCGCGGCCTACCGGAGTCGCCAGATGAAGGGGCACTGGTAGACAAAATGGAACACTATTTTAAACACCTACTCCCAGATATATCAGAAGGTAAATGGACAATTGACCAGGCCCACCGAGCACGCTGAGCTGAGGGAAAGGCGCCCAGAGATATAATTATCCGCTTCCACTATTACACCACGCAGGAAGCGTTAATGAGATACGCCAGGCATAACGAACTCACTTATAAAGAGGCCACCATCTCACGGTTTCAAGACCTGTCTCCCACCATGCTACAACTCCACCGAACATGGAAGCCAGTTACCACACTGCTACAGGTAATCCGGTATACATTCAAGCTCGTCACCTTCAAAGATGGCGCAACACACACCCTGTTACCCGGGACAGACCCCACAAAGTTCATCAGCGGCCTTCAACTATAGCCTCCACTGGACTCTACCTTACCACAGGAGAACACTCCAACGCTCTACACTCTCCCCCGAGAGTGGATTACGGCTGGAGACACCACCAACAGCCACACCTGAACGCCTCGGTAAGGAACATAGACTGAGATCGGGAGTGCCGGGGATCAGTTCACTTGGACACTCAGAGAGGTAACCCCAAAAAAGACCTGGGGGTACACTCTGGGAAAGGACTACCAAGACACGCTGTGGGGGGGGGAGGGGAAAGGGGGAGGCAGCAAAGGGGGAGGGAGAGAGGGGAAGGGGAAAAGCCCCCCCCCCAAAATAAACAAAACAAAAAAAACAGGGGCTCCAGGGCCTGAAACAACACACCACTACACAAAGCATAAAATTCCACCAACAGTGTCCCCCTTCCCAAGCACCACCATGAAGGGGAGCAAACAAAATAAAGATGAAGGGAACCTCACATTACACACACAAGTGCCCCGGACCTGGAGGGAGGGGGATGGAGGGATACCCATCCAACCTCAGGTACCATTACACCGCTCACCACACTGAAATAAGAGCAACAATAAACCCAAGGGGAAGCCAAACGCTAAAAACTGCATCCTTAAAATGTTTAAACAAGATACACAACATTTACCCCTGTAGTTGGCGGGGGGACCCGAACAGATCCGACCCACTGGACAATGTGCGCATATGGCTCATAAACCACACAAACACAGAACCAATAGCATGCGACAAGCAAATCCACGCATCCTCTCACTCCCACAATGCTGGGCACACACAGGGGTAGAAAAAAAGGCGGGGAGGACAAGAAGTCACACACACCAGATGAATAGGGGGCGCAGAACTGGCAAGTAGACAGCCCAATTAGACACCACACAACACGGCCCCACATGTCACCAATAATACCCGAGACCAACGAGCAACACAAGGCCTGAATTCCAGGGTACCGGGAAGGTGCAATATGACCACCCAGTGAAGGGCAATGGCTGGGCCACTTGAAAACCCAACTTATAAGCTAACACGTGTTTCTCACACCACAATACTGTGGATAGGGGGCGGACTCAACCCAAGGCAGGGCACACACAATAGCCCACGTGAAGGGGGATGTCCCCAACCTATTCTGGCACACTATAAGTCCAGAAATAACTTGCATGCTCACAAAAACTGGAATGCATACGTTTATCATGTACATAGTTATGTTAATGTTCTTTTTAGGTTTTTCTTCCACTGTGCAAGAGAGAGTACCACCCCCAAACCCACGCAAAACCACGCCACAGGAAGTTGGGACAAAGTAGAGACAGGACATCACACGGTAAGACCGGCAACACCAACACACCCCAGACGACAGCATCCAAAACGACACCAATATGACACTTAAACTCTTATCCATCAACGCCAGAGGCCTAAATACTCCCCAGAAATGCAGGGACCTGAAATCGAAAAAGATAGATATAGCCCTTATACAGGAAACACACCTCCCTAGAACAGCCCAGATCAAACTACTGGACTGAACGTTTGACACCATATTCAAATCCAGAGCCCTAAGAAAGAGGGGCTATACTAATCCGCAAGAACTGCCAATTCACCCTGACACAAAAGCAGACAGATGAAGACGGCAGATACATAGCTGTTACCGGCACCCTACATGGGTCAAAATACACATAGTAAACATATACACACCTAACGAATCAGATCACACATACTCTAGAATAGACAACATCCTTCAAAATGGCGCTGGCATGGCTAAACTCATACACTGAGAAATAAATAACATTACATGGTCCGACCACGCAGATGTCACAGTCAAACTAGGGAAACTACACTATCATACTACATGGACCTGGAAACTTAACATCTTGCTTAACGATGAAGACACCCTCCGCTCCACCCGAGCAGCCGTAACAGATTACTTTAAAAATAACGACACATAAGACACCATCCCTACAACCCTGTGGGCAGCCCACAAACAGGACACCTCATACAAGCAGCCACGAACATGAAAAGATTAAGAGACCTCCAAACAGCACTGCGAAACGCTGAACAAAAACACAAAGCAAGCCCCACAGTAGAAGGGTTTGGAGAACAACAAGACACTCCATAAGAGAAATTTCAATAGCAGATATATCTCTTGTGCCATACTGCAATCCAAATGCCTATTCTTTGAGAAGGCCAACAAGATGGACACAATGCTAGTGCGCGCACTTAGACCCAGACAGAGACACAAATCCATCACTCCACTCCGAAACTCCAAAAACAAAAAACTGTCACCACACCAACAAACATTAACGCGGTATTCACAGACTACTTCAAGGGCATTTACAACCACTCTCCCAGAGACACTCAGGCACAAACCCAATACCACGCCCGCGTAACAGACTTCCTAACACACACGGAGCTGCCACGGGTGACAGAAGGGGAGGCAGGGACCCTGAGGGAACCTATCACACAAGAGGAAGTAGCTGCGCGATTGCCACGCTCCAAGGTAACAAGGCCCGATGGCTTCCATATGAGCTATTATAAAAAAAACTTTAAGACAACATACTACCCACTCTTACCAAGCTATACAACCACTTTCCCCAGGGGTGCACCCTAGATCGAGACATGGCCACAGCCAACAGAATACTACTCCCTAAACCGAACAAAGACAATACCATAGCCGCTAACTACAGACCAATCTCCCTTATAAATTCAGACTTAAAATTTTTCACAAAGATCCTAGCTACAAGAATGACCCCACTGCTGCCCAGACTGATTCACCAGAATCAGGTCAGCTTTATGCCGGTGAGACAACTGTATGAAAACACCCGCCTGATCTGGTACACGAAAACAAAAGACCCGACCCTCATCCTCTCCTCAGACGCAGAAAAAGCCTTTGACCGAGTGCAATGCCCTTCTTATTCCAACCATTAGAAACTCAGGGCTTTCCAACCCCTTTTATTGTTGCCATCAAGGCTCTATACACCTGTCCTAACATGAGCCCCTAAGACCCCGTCCAAAATAAGCAATGGGACCCGACAGGGATGCCCCCTGTCACCACTCCTTTTCGCTATCACCCTGGAGCCCCTACTACACTCCATAAGAGAAGATCCCAACATCCAGGGGATTAAGATAGGGAAAACACAATTCAAAACAGCGGCATACGCCGATGACGTGTTACTGACAATCACGGACCCAATCCAATCCAATCCATGGCACACCTGGACACACTCCTCCAAAAATATGGAGAGGTATCCGGATATAAGGTCAACCTCACAAAGTCAGTCGCAATGCCCATACATATCAGAGAACAAGATACAACATACATCAAGTGAAAGTATATTAACACCAACACAGAGGCACTTACTTATCTGGGAGTACGTCTAACGGCAGACCCCGAGGCCCTATGCAGACATAATTACACCCCACTACTACGTACACTAAAACAAGACAGACAAATGGACAAACAAATGGATAGGCCTCCTACACGCTATAAAGATGAATGTTCTGCCTAGACTACTATTCCTATTCCAAGCCTTACCGATCAGAGTCACCAGGGGAGACTTAGCAGACATACAGAAAGCCATAGATACGTTCATTTGGCAGAGAAAATGACCCAGAGTAGCCTGAGCAGTACTATATAATCCCAAGGAGAGAGGGGGATTGGGACTACTCCATTATTCCATTACTATCTAGCAGCACAGACAGCCCAAATATCTCATTGGCACTTCCCCATAGACACACGTAGATGGGCAGACATAGAATCCTTGCTAACGGGAGCTGACCTGCCACAATTTTTCATATGGACACCCAGAGAGCACAGATCCTTAGAACCACAAGCCCAGCAATTCTCAATTCCATCAGCATATGGGACCAAATAGCCCAAAAATACAAACTAATGAACACCCCCTCACCAATGACCCCAATCCTTAGGAATAGAGCATTTCAACCGGGGCTACGGGCTAGAGACTTCCAAGGATAGAGTCAACAGGATTACAACGTTATATACACCTATACAACAACCACCAACTAATCACATACGACTATCTAAAAACTCTTGCCCCATTGACCAACAGAGACTTCTTTCGCTACATCCAGCTCAGAGACTTCGCACAAACTACAGCAGTTAAGGCAGTGATAGCCAAAAAACTAACTTTCTTTTAACACATGCATGAAAGAATCCATGCCAGCGAAACTCATATCATTACTCTACAACCACATTTGCATATAATCAGGAGCATGGGACACAACGTACA